TAACTCCATAGTAGCATCACTCTCTCCAGATAGGTCCATTCCTCTCCAAGAACCTGATTCATCCCACTAGCAAAACTAGTTCTGTCATTACACACATCTGAGAGACTCCAAGTGTCACAAACAACTCACACTGCTGCACTTTCTCACACAGTGACCTCACATATCACCTCCCCTAGGACACAGCCACACAGGCCATACACACTCTGGGACTTTGGTGGGGAAACCACCCCTAATCTCTCATCAGGTGCATCTCAACTAGTCCATAGCTACTGGTTCCATTTCTTGCCTCTCTCACAAAGTTGTAGAACACAAAGCACCTCCCACCCAGCAGTGATCAGTCACAACAGGGTCCCAGAACCTCCCAGGTAAGTATCCCTAACCAGTCTCTCTCTCCATTTCTCCATTTCATGTACAGAAACTGAGGCATCAGTTCCAGGTCCCTCAGAAAAAGCCCTCCTTATCCCAAATCTAAAGCAGGAAACAGGGCTGGCCCCTGATCTGAAACATCCCTCCTCTTCCCAGCGGTACATGTGTGGGAACAAGGCTAAGATCCCTCATTCCTTCAACACACCCTTTTGGGCGACTCCTGTGGTTTCCAGTGTAGGGCCAGCTAGGTTGTAGCTCTCACTTCCTCCAATTAAGGCCTGGGCCCTCCCAGGGGCTTCCACGAATCCCTTGCAGCCAGTGAGCTCCCCCTAAAGGTTCCACCTGGAAAGACTTCCAACATTCCCTAGTTTTGCCTGGCTGTGTAACAATGACTTAATATTCCAACCTCTCTGTGCTTGGATCCCAAGTCCTGCCTACTGAGCCAAGATTCCAATACCTCCCCCCTTTCTGGACCTCATGTGCGCGTGCGCACGCACACACACACACACACACACACACACACACAGCTGCGTTCTTTAAGAGCTGTAGGACCACTGACCTGTGACCTAGAATGGGCTAGGATCCTGGGCTGTGGGGAGTGCTACAATCACCCATGTCTCATCCCTTACCCTTATCCTTCACGTAGGGCTGGGAAACAGCTGGGGGAAGTCCTTCCACATCACCTCCACTCCCAGGGGCTGGAGGCAACTCTTCCTATCATACCCTTCCAGGCTTTTATTCACCAGAAAGGGGAGCTAGGCTCCTCTTTTGTACCCCAAAGAGAAGCAGAGGGACACAAACCCTGGGCAGGAACACACAGGCTGGCAAGGCATGTTCCATCTAAATGCCTACCCATTGTTTGTAGGCACATTCTTGTAGGATTTGCAAGTGGCTATGTAAGCCATGGGCCACTAAGTCCCTGGGTGTCCTAGTAGCTTGAGAAATCCTCTGGCTTGTACAGGAGACCAGGAAAGATGTCCCACTGTTCATGCCTACTTCCCTGAATCCATAAGCACCCACAGCCACAACACTTTAATTTGATAAGGCCACTTTCCACCAAGTATTGCCTATAGGCCAGGCTAGGGGCCAAGTGCCCATTTTCTAGATGAGAAAACCAAGCAAAGGAGAGATAAATTAGTTGCTCAAGAATATACAACTGAAAAGTCACGGACTTGTGATTCAAATCCAGATCTTACTTCTGTTCCTCAAAGGCTACACAGCTTAGGCTCACACCCATATGCATAAACACTAAGGAATGTTCATGCTCACAATTCTCTCACACTCTCACAAGTTCCTGCACACATAGGCAGCCCCCTCCCGCACATACTCACACACACAGGCAGGCTTATACTCTCCCACGCCTGGGGCCTGTCAGCCACATTCTCCATGGCTCCCTCCCTCCAAACAGGGACAGGGGCAGGCAGGGAGTCCACATTCCCAGGTTTCCGCCCTGACCCTGACCCCCCCCCTTCCCCACTCAGAGCACACATTCCTCCTGCTACAGCCAGATAACCAGCCCCAGGGGGAGGCCTGAGAGAAAGCAAGGCATTCTGGGGGCCAGACTGCTGGCCTTACTCTGGGCTGCCTAAGCCCTGGCTCTACTGCCTGAGTCTGGCTTGGTAAGAAGACAGAGTTCTCCCTGAAGACAGCCCCTACTCCTCTAGCCAGGCTAGACCCAAGGCTTCCCTCCTTATTCCAGGGACTTTCTTAGGCTCAGAGCTTCATACTCCAGAAAGGGCCCTCAGAGGTCTCCCAACTCAACCTTTGGGTGCAAAATCCCTTATACAGTTAGTAACTAGAGCAGGACTTGCAGAGCCCCCAGGACTCCTCTCTCTCCTGCTCTTATGAGTCTCTGGGCAGGCTGAAGCCTGGGTTCCATGCACCAACAGGCCCTAGGTAGTTTTCCCCATCTGGGGGTAGTGGCAGTTAATTCTCACAGCATCTGCCTGGGGTGCACCACTTGGCTGGCTCAGCAAATCTGGAGATATTCACATACCCAGATGGCCAAGACTGAAATTTCAGAGAATTCCCCAAGAAGAGGCAGCTGGCTTCCGGGTAGTGGCCCTAGAGGCTCCCAGCTGTTGGGCTGGAAGAGTGGGGAGTCTGGGGCCCCAAAACACAAGATAAGATTGAAAAAGATAAGAGAAGAACATTTCCTACGCCCTATCACCAGCCCCCAGCTCTTTTCTTCCTCTCTAGGCCCCTAACCTTTAGGTATGAAAAGCCACATCTCAGCTGCCCAGAGTAGATATGCAGGCAAATGAGACAGGGTTTGCTGGCTGGAGTCGCAGGGACGACCTGCCTTTAGGGAAAGGCAACAGTAGGCACCAGAGTTGCCAGAAATATGAGATCCCCTTGTCCACATGAACCAGGCCCTGGCCTGGTCCCTACTAATCTGTCTACACACAGACATATGGGTACTATACCAATGGGGAGGAGGAAAGGGAGCTTGGTGGCCTGACATTTCTGGCAGGCCTTGGGCTAGGACACTAACCTGTTCCTTCACTGTGATTAAGTCTGTGAGGGAGCCTGACTGAGCTAGGCACTGAGCCATCCAGTCAATTCTGTCTAAACTGTAAACAAAGCCAAGCCCAAACAGCCCTCCCCACTGCAACAAAAGCCCCTCCCAGGTTCTATCCAAGCAGAATTACTGACCACCCACCTCATGGTCGTTACAGCTATAGGTCACTACTGCCCTCTGCTGGCCACTCAGGCACTAGCATCCATCAAGATGCCAGCTCACTCTACCCAAGCAAATGCACTTCAGTCACCTCTTTCATCTGTGGGCATAGAAACTTGAACCTATCTGTCACCTATGTCAGGGGGTGGCAGGGAGCAAGATAAGCAAGGACGAACCCAGGGACACAGTGTGTCAGAGGAGAAATCACCAAGGAATTCTGCCTCCCTCCCCAAAATTTACATCCAAAACTTCAAAAGGAAGTGCCCTATCTACCCAGCTTAGAGGTTAAACTCACAACCATGGAAACAGTACCTGCCCCACAACCTGTTACAATGCACAAGAACCTCCCCTCACTCCTTGTGTTATGCCCTCTCTTTGTCCCCTCCAGAGGAGGGCCAGGCTTAGATGATCTGGAACCATCCTTCCAAAAACCCCAACTTCCTGGAAGGTTTGAGACTTTGTTCCCCTGGTTCCCTCTGTTACACTGCAGCAATGGAAGTCCTGGGTGCCCCCTAAAACAAGGCTAGCCTCCCTCAACACTTAATGCAACACCTTGCAAGCAGCCACACCTTTCAAAGACAGCAGCGTTGTGGACTAGAGGTAGGGGGAGACTGCCCAGAAGGACCTAACCAGCATCGTCCCTTAATTAGCTGGGGGAAGCTCCAGACACCCGTCAGGTACGGTAGCCTAGATTTTGCCATCTGTATGAAGCATAGAACATCCCTCACCCTGAGGTGGCTCTGGAGGCCAAACATCAGGTTGTATTTAGGAACTGTATCTAGAAAGCTCCAAGTCTGAAGGACTAAGAAGCAGTTTTGGAGCTTCCAAAGCTACCCTTATTTCCTATGGAAAACTTCAAAGGCGAGAAAGCTGGCCAAACCCTCCCGACTCACTCTCATTCTCTAGAGGCCCTACAATTCAGGGCAGGGGAGTACCCTTTAAGAGTCAAGATTTTGAAGTACTTAGGAAGAAGTTCAAACAGGAGAACAAGTGGCTTAGGGCACAGAGTGAGGTACTTGGGAAAATGGCTGCTATCACTCCTCACTCATATCTTTAGAAGTCTGAAAAGGAAGACAGCACATTCACCAAGGCTGGTGCTGCTCTTCTCTGGATGGCAGTCACCGGAGACCTGGCCTGGGCACACAGCAGCTTCTTTTTGGCCTTTCCAAACGTGATCAACCATTTGCTTTCAGAGTACACTGTAGGGCAATCAGGAGTTCCAGCCCTGGAAAAGGGCATTCTACCAATAACTCACACAGGAGTTTAAAAACAAAACCCCCACTCAACTGAAAACTATTAAGCTGTTGTCCTGGGGCTAAGATATTCACATAGTTCATTTGATAAGAGGCAGATCTGGTTAAGGTGCAGCTCCACAAAAAACTCAAAGATGAAAAGTAATCATCTGTTACAAAAATGCCTCTTCCTTAACTGGCCCAGGAGCAGTCACTGAGAAAGGGCAAAGCTGGCTGGTGATTGTGCTATACATTCAGTCACCTGAGGCCAAAGGTCTTAAAGGCTTTAGTTAGTCCCAGTCTTTGAACTTTTCCTACTTATATTGGCTAAGGTAAAATATGGCAACAATGGGAGAAGGTATTTGTTTCAGCATTACCCTGACAAGGTGATCCCATGCCAGTTTTCATTCTTTCTAAGCCCATCCCAGGAACTGGCCTAGAAAGAATCACAGGGACCTGAACACCAACCACTTACACCAGCTGGGGCTAAGGTTAGGAAAAGGCTTTTAAGGAAGGCTTTTGTGGAATACAGAGAACTCAGAGCCACGTTTCTTCAACACACATACACAACATAAGAAAAAATTAAATAGGGAATAGGCTCCAGAAGTGTCTCAAAGTAAGTCTATTTTCTCTTCTTGGATGGATATGAATGTATACTCTAATAGTTTGCCAGTTCACAGTTATTTTAATATTAAAAATCTGCATTCCTAACCCTTCTCCAGGCTCCTGGCCCCGGTCAGACTCCCAGGAGGCTCTTCAACACAAAGCTCTATGTTTGGGAGCCACCACATGACAAACCGGACTAGCTGAAAGCTGGAATGACCTTAAGCACTTCAGCCTTCCTGTGGATCTATCTCATCAAACAACCTAATGAAGATGTTTTAAAGTATAAAAAACAAAATAGGCTGGAATAAACTGTTGAAATACAAATACAGTATGCTTCATTTAGTGATTGTTAACAGCTCCTTTGGATTTACCAATCTGTTGAGTTGTGAACGGGAGGGAAAAAGTTTTATGTGAATATATGCTGAGTCAGCATTTATGTTTTCCAACATTAAATCACAAGAAAAATCTGCTTTCTTTTATATAACATCACACCCACCAAAATAACCCATCACTTGAAAATAAAGAGAATCAAAAGGAGATGGGTCCCTAACACTGTAAAAATTTTCTGCAAGGGTAATAAATATGGTTATTCCTGAGCAGGAAGGAAGGCAAGATGTGTTCATAATTCAGAAGACCCAGGAACTAAAGAAAGTTCTTCTATTAAAACCTAGACACTGAAGGTTAAGGGTATGGTACAACAGACTGAGACAAAAGCCACAGTTTCTCCTTAACTGCAGACAACGGACAGTTTATAGGCATTCCAACTGCAGTTTAGAAATAATTCATTTCTCCTGACAACCTACCAAGGGCTCAAAATAACTTGTTGAGGCAAAGAGGAATGACTCAAAAAGTGGAATACTGTAGCAACTGAAGTGGAAACAGAATGCCTCAATTGCTAGGTGCTGAGAACATGGGCCCCTCTCTCTGACCACCACCTTACCCTTCTCTCTACAGACCTCCCAGCTGTTCCCCACCCCAACAGTCCTCCTTCTCCAAGCCTTTGTACTAGCCAATGTGTAGAAACCAGTGAGACAATGCTACCTTTGACCCACAACAGAATGTGCACGTATCCAAAACCATGTAGTTTTTACCAAAAGAGACTGCAACTATAACTTGATCAAGCACTCCATGTTATTAAGCAGCAAAACAAAGGGAACCCATACACTTGACATTCCCTTGTAACCACTGCCTCACCAAGATAATCAAGGTTACTGCAAACAAGCTTTCACACGTGATCAAGCCAGGGACACTCCTGTAAAAAGTGATGTGATCCCAGATGAGAACCGTCCTGAGTGATACACTTTTTTTGAGAGTGGGGAAGGTGGCCTCCCTCACTAAGCATTCATTCTGGCCAAGGCATACGTACGCAGACTGAACCAAATATGCTCCATATTCAAATGAGCAAGACCAAACTGCATTCAAGGGCCTAATGTCGTTTGTCACCAGCCAAACCCTTTCATTTGACACCTGCACACCAGGATAATGACTTTTACTTAGCACTTAAAGATACTTAAGAGCACTCTTGTGAAAATATCTACATTATGATCTAATAAATGGTAATGAGCTAGTTGTTCTCTAAGATGACAAAGAATGGGGCTTTCAGGATCTGAGCAACTAACTCATGGTCAACAGTCAAAACTGATGAATTCCCACTTACCTATGACACTGAGAATGCAGGGTAATTTTAGGTTAGATCTCAATTCTAACTCCTTTCCCCACAACTATTAACAGTCAAATCTTCTTTGCAAGGTCAAGGATGCTAGAAATGCTAACCAAAGTAGCCAGCAGCTAAAATGCAGCACTTTTAAGAGGTTTCAGGTATCACACTCTAGTTCTGAGATGAGTGGTGACACTGGCAGATAAGACAAGTTTAAAACCAAAAGAAGCGGACGTTTATTCCTCAATTTTTGTGCAAGAGTGTTAAGATGCATTTGAAAAAACCTGATAGCTAGAGAGCATCCGCCATGCCTTTCAGGCTGGCCTGGTTTACAGTTAGATTAGGAGAAGGAGGGAAAAAAAGGTAACTTGCCTAGTTCACACGACTGATGTTCTGGCAAACACAGTTGTTTACAAGTTTCAAACTACATTTTACTAGAGTCAAGGGAAGACTTCAAAAAGCCACATACAGTACAATTTAAAACTGGATGAACATCCTGCAATGTTAGTGCAAAGTAATTATGTAGACTCTCCAATACAAGATTGTGCTCATGTTTCCCGGATTTGGTCAATGTTGCTCTTTTACAATCACAATCACAGAAGCTTAACTTACCAAATAGCAATCAATGCTTTTGTTTTTTGTCCTATGCACCAAAGGAATGTCACAAGGTTTTGGTGAAATGTAGCTTAGTTTCAATAATAAAGCAAATTTCTTTTTAGTTTAACAGTCATGTTCCTGGAATACTGCACATATAAGTTTCATGGAAATGCTTTTAAGCTTATGCCTTTATCCTGTTCAGTAAAATTACTTTCAAGATATCCTTTTTGCTATGTAAAATGGAACTGTTTTGTGATTTTGAAATGCAACCACTATAAATGAAAACATTTCAGGGGTGGGGGAAATTTCACCATTAATCTCAGCTAGACAAAGTTCTTAAAATCAAAAAGCCTATTCACACAAAATTATATGTAATGACTGTAGTAATCAGTTTATTACACAGATTAATCATTCTTGAACGTACAAGCTCCAGAGGAGCAACTGGGTCTTTAAATATACACAAGTATTTCCATCAAATGAATTTTCACCCTTACATCCAGATAGACCTAAGCAGTTAAAAACATAAGAAAAATAAGAGCTATCAGCTATGTATTAACTGAGAAACCACATACAAACCAAAGAATATGGAAGAGAGAAAGAGGGGCTGAAGGATGAAGGGTGGGGAGATGTAAAAGAGTTGGGAACAAAGCCCATCACACTTCACATACTAATAGCTCCAATCCATTTAAATGTTGACCAGTTAAACTTAGACCTTAAAATACAGGATGTGGGTAGAGTTTAATCTGGTTGGTCATAACTTTCACCTAAGACGTAGGTCCTTCGGAATAAAATGAATACAGAAACAGCTTCATGTTCTTTGCCTTGCTTTTCATAACTGTTTTGAGTTTAATAGGATTCCACTTAAAAAACAATCTCCTACAGGTCAGTGGAGCTTTACTTCCCCTTTCAAGCACACACCATACCCACCACCCCTCACCTTGCCGTTATCCAAATTTAAGTCAATACGGAAAGCTTTTAATCTCACACCTAGGTTATGCCTGGAGAACTGGCTTGTCACACACACACACTTCTCTGCTAGGAGGCAATGTTGGTACAGAAGTACAGTATTTCTAGTTTGTTGTTCCAAGTATGTACAACACGCAGCACTGCTGTATCAGGTAAACATGTGCACGGGGGAAGATGAGGCGTGGGCTCATAGAAAGCAGTCAAATGGAAATCAAAAGGACTTTCTCTTTCAGAGTTCCCCTATCTTTATTTGTAGAGGTTATCCAATAATTTCTTTAATTACATCGCATACTTCTGAGTCCATTCCCGAGCTATTCTGTTGTACCTGTACACACAAAGAGAAGCTTGGCTTAACACAGGTGAGGAGTCAGTTAGAAAGCAACAGATTTCATTTATTATCCCATCTAGTAACTTGAGGGGAATAACTTATAGTACATTCAAGCTAAGCCATCTATGTACTTCAAATTTCTAATAAATGTTTATTCAATGATAGTGGAAAATGTCCTGTAACTGCTTCTAACAGAGGATTTCGATTAAATTTTAGCATTTGCTGGCATACCCTTTGCCTATACTTGATTGACAAATTTCTAAGACAAGATCTTCAACCCTTGATTTATTATTTGGAGTATAATAAATACTATATAATTCTACATTAAAAGGTTCTTGAAATCATATAATAATGATTAAATTGACATAATACTTTCCCCTGTATCAATAAAACAAATAGTGCTGGCAGAACTTATTTTAACAATTTGGTTGCTAAAATGAATGGGTTTATTGCTCCAGAAGAACATTTCAGCAGTAAAATAAGTAGGGCTAAAGGCTCTCTTGTTCTTTGATTTAAAAATGTTCTGCTGAACATTACTACCACAATGACCTGGGGAAAAGCCTCTTAATTCTAGATATTGGACAAAATAGTTTCCTAATCAAAAAGAATTGTGAATAAATTCACAAATAGAAAAAATCATGATCTAATTTTATTCTGAATTCAGCCAAAAATACACAGCTATAGATACTATTCAGACCTAAACACAGACAAAACTAAACTAAGAACCAACTGCTGTTAGAATCTCCCATTCCCAGTGGAGCTCCATTAAAATATACTATCTATACACCTCTCTAATCCAATAATTCAAATAATTCTCTAATCCTTCATATTTTAACTTTAGAAAATTACTATCTCCCATCTGTTTCCTCCTATAATCTTACTGAATAATACACAAGACAAAAAAGATTACAACATTTTCAGTTACTATCTCTTTTGATATCCTGACCACTCTTTAATAATTCACAATACAACTGTAAAATATGTAAATTATACCTCAAGTTTTGTTTTAAAGGAAATTTGGAGCTTTCATGCCTTGCTGTGTTTATTCACCTTCTTTTTTAGATTATTCCAAATGGTTGAAAAGTCAATTCCCTTTTCCTGTTTATTTACAAATACCTATCTAAGAAAAACAGGCTCTTGATGCACAATGTTTTGTATGTCAAAAGCCAAGCAGAAGACATAAAGCCATGGGAAAATACATTGGAGAAAAGTTTTTCTAGACAGTAGAAGTCATATGAAACAATTAGAGTTAAAATCATCTACTTGATATCATCTAGCAATACTTGATGCAAATACTCCTCTTTTCTGTCCCTGGGGGAGTATATTAGGACTTCATTTTAAGTATCTGGCCCATACTCAGCCCTTAGTTAAGAAAGAGCTGAAATACAAACATCTCCACCCTACCACAGATACTCTTCTGTCTGGAGACAATACTTACTTTTCTCTATCTGTTTTGTAGATCCGAGCAATCTCAGGCACTAAAGGATCATCTGGATTGGGATCACACAACAGAGAACAAATGGACAAGAGTACTAGAATGAAAAAAAACGTATCCTTTAGTAGAGGATAAAAGCAAAAAAGGTTGAAAGAAACATGAAATGGCAACACAAGAGAAAATTTTAAAAATCTATTTATGTTGTAGTGCCGAGCAGCTTTGTAAGCTCTACCTAATTTTATAGTAACAATAATCAACAAAGACTCTAAGATTTCTCTGTGCTTGAACTCCTAAGAAAGCTGGCCCAAGCTGGTGAAGTATCTTGCCCAATGCCCCTGGTTAGTAAGTGGAATTAGAAGGTCTTCCAAAATGGAACGGTCTTCTGAAGTTGAATCCAGGTTTTCCAAATTCTAGACCAATAACACTTTTTATTCCCCAAAGTTCAATTTTTAGATGCCCATGTTTAGAGATAAATGGCTTTCAGAATTCCAA